GAGAAATCGAGGCAGACCGTGAGAGACAGTCAGTCAGTCAGAACAGTTACCAAGGAGAGCTCCAGCGAGAATCGTGAAGAGAAGTCGATGAGAAGGCAAGGCATCCGCCGGTGAGTAAAGCTTCCACACCGTACCGAACCACCGGGAAATTTTACAAGACCCGGCAGCCGAGCCTCGTCGGCCGACCAGGCATCGCGACTTTACCGTACTTGTCCGTCTGTGTCGGCAGCAGTTAGCCACCGGCACAGAATATCTCTAAGTATCCGTTCGCGAATTTACCGTATTCGTCCGTCTGTGTCGGCAGCAGTTAGCCACCGACATAGAATAATTCTAAGTATCTGTTCGCGAGATTACCGTATTCGTCCGTCTGTGTCGGCAGCAGTTAGCCACCGGCACAGAATATTTCTAAGTATCTGTTCGCGGATTTATACGTGCTCGTCCGTCTGTGTCGGCAGCAGTTAGCCACCGGCACAGAATATTTCTAAGTATCTGTTCGCGGATTTATATGTGCTCGTCCGTCTGTGTCGGCAGCAGTTAGCCACCGGCGCAGAATATTTCTAAGTATCTGTTCGCGGATTTATATGTGCTCGTCCGTCTGTGTCGGCAGCAGTTAGCCACCGGCGCAGAATATTTCTAAGTATTTGTGCGCGGAATATAAGTGCTCGTCCGTCTGTGTCGGCAGCAGTTAGCCACCGACACAGAATATTTCTAAGTATCTGTTTCCGACCAAACGGCAGCAGTTCGCCACCGTTCCGCAATTCATAAGTGCTCGTCCGTCTGCGTCGGTAGCAATTAGCCACCGACGTAGATTAATTTCTAAATTCCTGTGCGCGAGGATAAGTGTTCGTCCGTCAGTGTCGGCAGCATTGGTCACCGACGTAGAATATTTCCGAAGCATCGGTTCGCGGAATTGTCAGTGCTTGTCCGACTTTGTGACCGTGGTACGCTGCCCGGAATAAACCACCTCCCGCTTATCCAAAGAACAGCTGGCGTAAGTCGCCCTCAACAGGACTCGTGGCCAAGGGCGTCGGACCGCCAAGAGGCCGCGGAACATCCCCTCTGATCCCGCGGATAGGGGACCACCCTTGCGGCTACGCAGGAATCACGGGCACCAAGGAACGGACATCGCCGACGCCACACCGGGCCAGCGAGCCGCCCACATACACTTATATATATATATATATATATATTATATAGCATCGAACGTCTTTTAAATAAACGGGGCGCCTTGCGGGACGCACCCAACTTGTTAACACAGAAACGCTGAACACACATTTCTTCCGAGAAGCTACTTTGAATTAGCCCTTCACTCGAGTAACGCACCGACGCGGCGGCGAGCGAGGCGTCGCGGAAGCGGCGAGCCGGGTGCGACGGTGGGGCGACTGATCGCACCGAACCCTGCGGGCGTTACCGTTACACCAGTTTATCCACGGACCATGCAAGACTGTGGAACGAAGCCTACCACCGGCCGTTGGCAGCAGCCTGGCTCCACCCCCCACATCACAGTCCCGCCAGTCCGCGGATCAACCGGCCATCCATGTAAGGGTGAGACTGGGACACCGATGAGTGCATCCCCGAAGTTTCCTCAAGGAATGCCCACCCGGCACCAAGAAAAAACCCTCCTTCAGAGGCGACCTAAGCTGGTTCATTCGAAGCACATGTCCTCTCCGGCACTTTGACGGGGACGGCACCCTCCGTCACTGCCACAGCCTACTCCTTCGAGGACCTGAACCGTCGCCAGCCCCCTCTGGAACCACTCCCTCCACGCACACATTCATTCTGGATGACAAAGCCATCCTACACCCAAGAGGAGCCCGCCCCGTCCCCCGAGAGCACTCCTGCCTCCACCGCCGAGCGAACCCTCCAGTCCCCTAGAGCATTGGCCTAACGGATCAGGGGGTGAACGACAGTGCTCGCTCGCCGTTGCCGACTATCCGCCTACCCCGAAGACCAGAAGGTCCAACTCGACGACGGGACCAGGACACGCAGGGTCCGCAACGCACTCCGCCGGGTGTTGCCGTTCAGCAGCATTCGTGTAGAGGAATTAGGCCACACGAGTTCTGCCTTGTAGACTTCATACAATCGGCTGCCTCACTAGGCTGACGAGGCCGACACCCCGAGTTTGTTCTTTGTGGTTCTTCATTCCTCCTCGTTGGTCTGAGAAACCAGACTCACGAGCCCGAGCGCCCGCCCGGTTTGTTCACGAAGTTTTCCTCTCCGGTTTGGTCGCCCCAGGGCTAGCGAGTCTAAAACACCGCCCCGGGACTAACGACTTCAAACCCCCGAGGGGTTTTAAATCGGAGTTTTCCTCTCCGGTTCGGTTGCCATGCTGCTAACGAGCCCAAACTTCCGGGTTTTTACTTCGGGTTTTCCTTCTCCTCGTTTGGTGTCTGGTAAACCAGACTGACAGGCCCAATCGTCCAGGTTTATTATTCGGCGTTCTTCCTCCCCTAGTGTCGGATGTCTGGCCTGCCAGACTCAAGAGCCCGAACGCCCGTTTTTGGCAGGTTTTCTCTCTGTTGTGATCGCCCGAGGGCTAACGAGCTCACACGCCTGGGTTTTGCATTGGGTTATCCTTCCCCTGATTCGGTTGACTGGCACCGTGAGCCTAACGAACCCGATCGCCCGTGTTTGGTATTGGAGTTCTTGCTCCCATGATAATAGGTTGCTTACCCACGAAATCAAGCTCTCGAGCCCTCGCCCGGGTTTGATAACGGAGTTTCCAATCTTCGGAATAGGTTGCACAAGGCTAACGAGCCTACTAACCTGATTTTTTACAGTGGGTGTCCTTCCTCTCGTCGGATTGTTTGGCAACCACCAAACTAACAAGTCCGATACTCGGGTTTTAATGGGTTTTCCATCCCTATGTTTTTTCATTGGGTTTTCCTTCCCCTCGTTCGGATGTCTGAGAAAATAGACTCACAGGCCCGATCCCGTGGGTTTATTAGTTAGGGTTCTTCATTCCTTCTAGTTCAGATGCCTGGGCTGCCAGACTCACGAGTCCGAACACCCGGTCTGGTCCGGAGTTTTCACTCTGTTTCGGATGTCTGGACCGCCAGACTCACGAGCCCGAACGCCCAGTTTGTACGGAGTTTTCTCTCCGGTGCGGGTGCCCTCAGGCTAACGAGCCGCACGCCCGGGGTTGGTATTGTGGTTCTTCCTCCCCTAATAATAGGTTGCTTGCCCACGAAGTCAAGCCCTCGATCCCTCGCCCGGGTTTGATAACGGAGTTTCCATCTCCGGAATAGGTTGCACATGGCTAACGAGCCCACTGACCCGGGTTTTTACAGGGGTTTTCCTACCCCTCGTCGGATTGTCTGACAACCTCCCAGACTAACGAGCCCGATGCCTGGGTTTTGTATTGGGGTTCTTCCTCCCCTTCATGTAGGTTGCTTGCCCACGAAGTTAAGCTCTCGAGCCCTCGCCTGGGTTTGATAACGGAGTTTCCAATCTCCGGAATAGGTTGCTCAAGGCTGACGAGCCCACTAGCCCGGGTTTTTACAGTGGGTTTCCCTTCTCTCGTCGGGTTGTCTAGCAACCTCCCAGACTAACGAATCCGATATCCGGGTTTTGCAAAGGGTTTTCCGTCCCCTCGCCTGGAAAATAGGCTAACGGGCCCCATCTTCATGGGTTTTGTTATGTTTCCTTCCCTTGTACATATGCCCCCCGAAGGCGAGGCTGACGAGCCCGAGCGTCCTCGCTGAAGGGTCCTTCATGTCCCTCAAGAGCAGCTCTCCAGTCCCTTAATACTTCGAGAGACAGCTGCCCATCTCGGAGCATGTATTAGTCGCTCTTAGTAGCCACTCTCCTCGGTTCACCCTCGATCCTAAGATTCCAAATCGAGTCCATCCCTTTGGATCATTGTCGTCATCAAGCTTTTGCACCACGATAAGGTGACGACCATCACAGAAGGGATTTTTATTAACCTTCTCTTTTCTTTGTAACGAGGAGGAAATCCATCATGGATACTCTCGGGGAAGGGTGGGGGGTTATGCCGGGCTCCTACCGGCTAAAACCTCCCCGGATGGCGTTGCGAAGGTACATTCCTCGGGGTCCCGGAGCCATGTAACTGCTATCGGGACCCCGAGTCCTGCCGGCGAGCCGTCATCTTCCCCGAAGGAGGCCGGGAGAGGGGAAAGCCGGGAGGGGGGAAAGCGAGCCCAGGCTCCTTTTCTACCACCGCTCTCACAGAGGGGGGGGGGAAGCGAGCCAAGGCTCATCTTCAACCGCCGCTCCCCCTGCATCCCTCACGCCCCGCCTATATGGCTGGGAAGGGGGAAGCCGGTCAAGTGGCCTGTGCTTATACCTCCGTTCCCAGGCGGGCGAGGCGCCGCTTGTGCTTTTGTGTGGCTAGCATATCACCTCCTCAGCTAGCCACCCTATGTTTGGAGGGCTGATTGGGGCACTGGGGATCCCCGCCCAGTGCCCCACCCTCCTGCCCGGCGGCTACGGGGGGAAAATCTGATCCCCTAACCGCCAGGCCCACTCGCCTATAAAAGGCAAGGAGGTGTCGCAACCCCTCTTTTCCTGTCCACTACTCTCGCAGCGGGCCAAGAGAGGCGAGAGGGGGAGGGTGTTTTGAGAACTTCGTTATCTTTAACTCACTTCCCCCTCGCCCTCATCCGACCCCAGTCCTCGGGATCGGAGTGACTGGGGGAAGTTTGATCTCCCCCACGTCCTTGCCCTCCCGCAGAAATGTTGGCGGCCGGTACTAATGCATCGGCCCCCGTGTTCTCACCGGTTGAGCCCCTCCTCTCGAGAGTTTTGCCCTCCGTGAGGCATCACTCTCCTAGGGGGGGTTCTCATAGTGGGTAACGGTGGGGGACTGAGTGTGGGAGGTACGGGAGAAAGAGGTTGGTGCAAGGCGGGAAGGGAAGGAAGGAGTGGGGGTGGGTTACAAGGGGTGGTGATGGGGGAAGCCCTACCATCCCCCTGATCGCCTCCTCCTCAGAGGAATCGACGTCATCTTCCCTACTGGGGGAGCGTTCGACTCGGCGGCGTTACCGCCTCCTCTGCGCCCTCCCACTTCTCTCTGCCTGACGGCGGTTCTCCTCCGCTTCTTCTTCTTGTTTCATTACGCCTTCGCAGAAGGCGGTGAAACAATCCCATTTCCTCTCACTCCCCAGTATAGAGCTGACTACACTGGGGAGTGAGAGGTCCTGGCCCAGCTCCCTGACCACGACTCTGCGCTCGACTGCCCATGCCGGACAGTCTTGAAGGGTGTGTTGCGCGGAGTCGTGGTCAGCTTCGCAGTGATGACACTGCACCGTGTGCTCCTTTCCTATGCGACACAGATACTCACCAAAGCAGCCATACCCGGTGAACAGCTGTGTCGTCCTAAATGTCAGGGTTCCTGATTCCCTGCCTGTCCATTCGGCCAGGCAGAGCTGGACGGCCTCTACACTTCTTCTCCCATATTTGGCGTTGCACAGACGCCTCTTCCAGCGCTGGAGAAGGAACTGTTGACCCTGATGCTTCAGGCGCTGCAAGGCTCCGGCGAGCGGTTCGCCCGCTCTGAGGCCCCTCCGTAGCTTCCCTTTCCTCTTGTACATGTTCTTGTACATCAGTGCGAGGAGCACCAGGACGGGCATGCCCGCCAGAGTCGTCGCCGCGCTCGTGGGACACGGTTCGATACGCCCTAATGACCCTGACCGCCACCGTCCTGCGTGCTTTGCGCATTAGCGCCGGCAGCGGACGGCTGGCGGCCAGGATCTGCACCCATATAGGCGCACCATACAAGGCGACCGAATTTATGACTCCAGCGTGGAGGCGACGTGCCTTCATATCTGGCCCCCCGACATTGCGCATTAAATTTCCCAAATTGGGCCTAAATGACCTTTAGTCGGGGAACTAGGCGGCTAAAGTGATCCCTGAAGCACCAGGTGCCGTCCATAATGAGGCCCAAATATCTCAGTTGGGCCTCTATAAGAACCCTGACCCTGCCGATTCGGAGGTGGACCTGAGGTGGCCTTCTGCCTCTTTGGTAGAAGAAAATAGCTTCTGTTTTCCTCTCAGCCACCGTCAGGCCCATCTCGCGAATGGAGCGCACGACGCAGTGTACTGCTAAATTAGCGATTGCACCGCATTCCCCCATTCTCTCCCCCCGGCCAGTATCAGCGTATCATCCGCATGGCAGATGATACTGCAACCGCGGGGAGAGGCAACCCGGAGGACTTTATCGTAGCCTAGGTTCCACATTAAGGGGCCCAGCACTGACCCCTGCGGAACCCCGCAATCATCCCCCTCTCTCGCGCACCGCCGTCGGCGTCCGTCCAGGCTAGACACCGACCCCGGAAATAATCCTCGATAATGGCTATGAGGTAGCATGGGAATTGGAAATGCATCGCTATCTCCCTCACCACGCCACCCCAGGGCAGAGTGTTGAATGCGTTGGCTATATCGATTGATATAGCCACCGCCACCCTGCCCTCCAACACGATGGCTTCCGAGAGGTTTCTAAGATGCGAAATCGCATCGATGGTGGATCTACCCTCCCGGAAGCCATATTGGCTATCATCGAGGTTCGGACCTGTCCGGGCCATATGCTCCGCGAAGCGGGCGGCGATGACACGTTCAAACACCTTGCCCGCCTCATCCAGGAGACATATGGGGCTGTACGTGGAGGGGGAGTCCTCCGGTTTGCCCTCTTTACAGAGGAAGACCACGTTGGCCCTCACCCAGACTGGGAGGAACTTATCTTCCCTGAAGGCGACCGTAAAGATATCGGCCAGCCTGCCCACGATGACCCCCGAGGCAAGGGTGAGTACGCGGTCGGGTATACCATCAGGTCCAGGCACCTTTCGGCTTTTCACCTTCTTGATGGCCCCGGCCACCTCCTCCGCTGTAACCCCCGGTACCTCCCTCTGTTGTGGTGGAGGGGGAGCAACATATCGATCTATGGGGGAGAACCCATGCCCAACGGGGAATAGAGTCCCCATGATCCTCTCTCGGAACCGGGGGTCCAGTGTCTCCGTAAGCGGAGGCGTCCATGGTTTCAGCTTCTGCATCGCTATCTTATATGGACGCCCCCACGGATCCACATCCAGAGATCGGAGGAGGGTGTTCCACCCTTGACACTTAGCCGCCTCTATAGCCTTGCGCAAAGTGCGTGCGGCTAGACAAAATTCTATGTGGGCGGCCTTGGTCTCCTCAGGGGACTTTCCTTCATCGCAGGCTCTCCTAAAGATCCGCCTGAGGCGGACCGACTTTTGCCTGAGCTTGGCGATCTTATCGGACCACCACCAGGCGGATCATATGGGGCAGGACCTCACTTTGGGCATGGCCTTATCGCACACATGTGCGATCATGCCCATGATCTCGGCTACTGCCGAATTGAGGTCCTGCCCCTCCTGCCATCGTGGCCAGGTGGAAGCCTCAAGGGTTGTATCTAATATTTTTATATTTAGTTGGCTCAGGGCCCATCTGGCTGGTCGGGGTTTCTCGTTCAGCCTGGGCCGTGGTAATCCGTTGGGGGTGGCGGAATGCTCCATCTCAATGATTAAATGATCCGAAAGGGATTCCAGCTGCTTCGCCACCCTCCAGGTCTGCACCCTTCCTCGGGCCGCGGGGGTTGCCCACGTGAGGTCGATTATCGACTCCTCCCGCGACCTAACGAAGGTGGACTTCTTTCCTTCGTTAAGTAGGTGCAAGCCCAGGCCTACAGCCCATTCCTCGACCTCCTTCCCCCACCCGTCATTATCCCGGGGAGAAGGCCATAAGGGTGACTTTGCGTTAAAGTCTCCGGCAATGATGACGGGTCCTGGGAGGTACCGTCTGACGGTCATCCCAATCTCTTGGAGCCTGGACCTGTAACTCCGCAGATCCAGGCTCTTTGTTGGGGGGAAGTAGACCCCGAACAATATGAGGGCCCCCCACCTGACCACGACGTATCCCCTCCCCTTACCCAGCTGGGTTGCCGGGGGGGAGTGGTTGTCGGCCCTCCACGTTATAGCGACGGAGCCCAGTTCGTCCCCAAACCATCTGGGATGGTTTTTGGGGACATAGTAGGGCTCCGCCGCTACTTCCAATCCTGCACCGCGCTCCGCCATTGTGTGCGCAAAAAGAGGCATTGCCTGGCGGGCGCGGTGCAGGTTGGATTGGAGGGGCCGGGTAGCCATTATGTATCTACAATTACAACTTTTTCACCCGGCTCCTCTTGCCCATCGCTTCCTTCATCCTCACTCGGATGACTTCTCTTTCTTGCTTTCATCTCCACATCCATCTTCTCTTCTCCCTGTGCGTTGTCTGGGAGGGGGTCGATGAATGGGGTGGCAGGAGACGAAGTCTCTTCCTCTATCTCCTTCTCCTTCCTATTTTATGGGGTCAGAGGTGCCGTATTTTCTTGCCTCTTTTCTTTAGGCACCTCCGCCCCCTATTTTTTCTTCTGCTTTGGGGGATGACATGCCGGTCCCCCTATTCGATGGTCGGCTGGTTTTCCCCAGGCCTCGCATATCTTACATCTGGCCAAGGATTCGCATTCCCTGGCCAGGTGTCCTTCTTTCCCGCATCAATAGCAGTTCTTGCTCCTGTCTGTTTTGCTGCTACAGTTGTTTTGGACGTGGCCCCTCTCCATACATCTGAAGCACTGGAGGGGCCTCGCTTCCAGTAATTCGATCCTGACCTGAGTCCAGCCCAGGGACAGTGTCCCATTTTCTGTCGCATTTTTTGCGGCTATTAGGGGGCACTGGGCCCAGAGGTACCTGTATCCCGTAGGTGATACTCTTATCTTCCCGGTTTTTACATTGCCAGGTTCACAACCTCCAACCTTTGCTATTTTTTCCACCACCTCCTTTTCTGTGGTTGATGGTTCCATTCCCCTTAGTCTTATTTCTCCCATTTTCTGGGGTCGGCTGATCTTAACCTTTTAGTCGACCACTTCCCGAAGCTTCCCAGCAAGTAAATCCGCTTGCTCTCGGCTTTTCTCCCCAGGGATCTCCAAGATCAGAGCTCCTGTCATTCCTATTCTGGTCTTTATCTTGGAGATCCCTAGTTCCTTAACCGTTTGAGTCCCAGGGGGTATTGAAAAAATACTGTCGAAGAATCCCAAACAGCGCAATCGCACTTTCTATAAATGAGTATGAAAAGACCCAAGCAGCGCGATAGCGCTTTGTTTATTTTACATCGATGAATCCCAATCGGACCAATACCGCTTCTTGTATTTGTTAGGTAACGCGATTCTCGTCTTTTTCTCATCGCTCTGTCACATTTATTGTAGTTTGCAAAGCGATCGGACGTATTCTTGCGTAAGTGTTTCTCATTGTTAATAATTGTGTTTCAAAATGATTAGACGAAGCAACGGAGCAACGAAGCAAAAGGAATCCATCCAATGTTTTGATAAACACCGATGTTACAAATTATAATTGTTACTCTCCATTTAAATTATTTGTTCATAACACAAAAATATTGTTAATTTGTAATTCGTTATTTTATAAAATACATCTGTATTATTACATATGCGTACTGTAAATTTATAAATATTTCAAGTTTTGTTCGATAAAAATTATTGAGAAGATAACAATGAAATAAAAATTTTTATTTTGTAATGTATTATTGCATTATTATAGTATTATTCTACCTATTATAAAATGTACTATTTACATTAAAAGGATCGGTGTGATATACTTGCTTCAGTAAATCTGAGCGCGCGACTTCGACAATCGTTAACGCACCGTCAGTTGTCCACAATGATCGAAATGTACTGGGTTTTCTCGACATAAAATCTGAACAGCGCGATCGCGCTGCTTGCGACTCAAACGGTTAATATCAATTCGGGTTTTCGCCTCAGTCAGCAGCTCCTTGTATTTTCCGTCCGCTGCTGTGATAGAGACTGCCGCGGTGTTTGGGACACTTCTCTTCTTCTTCCTCTTCTTTTGTTTCCCTTCCCCTGCCTTCTTTTCCTCTTTGTTGCCAGGCATCCGGACCTGTGTTCGGATTATACTGGCCTTTTCCTTCCCTTCTTTCCTTTTAGTTTTTCGCCCTACCACTTGCGCCCATAGCTCCTCTTGTACTGTGGCACTCTTCCTCTCTTGTTCCTTAAGGACAAGTGCAGGGAATTCCTCTTTTGTCCTTCGAGGGGGGATCTGTTGGGGTTTATTTTTTCCCCCTTTCTTCCCTGTTGTTTTGGCTCCCTTCTTCTCCTTCTTTCCTTCTCCTTTCTCTTTGCGGTTGGGGCTGTTCCGCATGGTTAGGGGAGGGAGGGAGAGTCGCCCTTCCTCAATCTTTGAGTGTCTCCAAGTCTTCGGTCACTCTCCCATTCCACTATCTGTTCGTCCAGATATTCCTCCCATGTATCCCAGATGGTTTCAGAGTACGGGAGATCCGCGTGAAATTCGAGGTCTCTGGATCTCATTGACACTCTTATTTCTGTAACCTCCCTTTACACTTCCTCATGAAACGAAGTCTTCTTAGCGCCTCCTGTCGAGGGACCCAGATCCCCCTCCTCCTCTGCTTCTTTCTCCCTTTTCAATTTAAAGTCAGCCATTGTTTGTCTAATCCCATTTTCCCCCAGCGGCTCGAGCGACCGGGCATGCCTGCACCACCAGAGACATGACCTAGTGGTGTCCTCGAGTTCTCCGGAGAGCCGGTCCATATC